CTGGAAAATAGCCATCACAGGGATACTACAGAAAAAGCGATAATTAACGGTGGGACGTCAACCCGGGGGCTTTAATATGATATATCACTCAACCAAGTCCAATGATTACTTGTGGTACCTGATATTGAGTGGAAAGCAAGAAAAACTAAAACACACCCAAATGCCAAGTTCCTCTCCATTTTCAATGGTCGGAACAACAACTATTTGTTAATCATTCGGAAAATTTTTACCTCTAATTGTAATTGGATAATGCAGAAAAAAATATTGCAAATTGAATTGTTTGTTCTAAATGCAAACAAACTACCAAACTCAGATTTTAACTTTTCTTAACTCATATAGTATGGGATACAAAATAAAGTTTGGATGGATAGTTTAGGACATGGTTACTTTAGATCTTTCTTAAAATCAGCTTGTCATGGCTAATTAAGATTTGAAACGTTCTGTTTCAAATCTAGTATTCATTATTTTAGATCTTACTTAAAATCCTAAAATCGGCTTGTCATGGCTAATTGAGATTTGAAACGTTCTGTTTCAAATCTAGTATTCAATTAAGAAATACCAAATTTCAGATCTGAAAATAAATTGACGAAGACTTACAGATTTTCAGATCTTTCGTAAAGAACTTGCTGGGTATGGTGTGGATTTTGAAAAAAATTTCAGAAATTTTGGTAGTTTGTTTTAGGTTGACCAAATTGATTTTCTGAGCTCTCCAAAAACACTATTAAGTTCCAAATAGCGCAAACTTCCTGCGATCCAGGTAAGTATTTACATAAACAGGACAAAAATGCAAAAAAAAGCTCACTGTCCCTTGAAGTTCAGATTCGGTCGGCCAAAAATGGAGGTCATAAAATGGTCATTTATTAAGGTAAAATAGTCACCTATTAAAGACCAAGAGCTGTTCTTACCTTTGACCTCAACATATCTTTTACTTTGCTTGAAACTTCTTGACTCTTGTCCTGCAATTACTAATAAATATCGAAAAAACCATAAAATTGGTATCAACACTTAGAAACAAATATATTAAACTTTAGCTTATAAAAGACTTAAAAATTAAGGAAAAATTGATATTTAAATTTAGACTACGCCTCCTCATATGAGTAACTTCTATCTTATCTGTTGATTCATTTGTTGGCTTATAATAATTAATCAAAATTTGTAATATATTTTTAACTCTCTTTTAAATCAGATTTCCTGTTTGCTAAAACTCCAGTTCTGCTTTTCTTTGATAATTAATGATAGAAAAACTTACTGAAAATCGATGAACGTAAAAGGCAATTTTTTACTCTGTTCATTTTGATGCACCGCAATCGCAGCGTAACTGTCCTCATTAGTTCTGATTAAAAAAATTTCTCCTCATGTTTTCCTTTGGTATTAATTCAAGGTATATCCCTTTTTAACACCTTTTTCTGAATGTTGGCACCTTTTTTTGAGCTGTTGGCGCTACGATACATGGAATGAAATTGGGTGGAGTTTGTCTGAGCCGTACCTATCAATTCGCACCTGTCTCTACGGAATGTAAATTTTGTACCAGAGTGTAAATTATATCTAATTGTTTCGACCATTGAAGTGAGGATGTTTTATCCACCCAAAACTGGGCACTAAAAAGAAACAACCTGTGGGGATAAGCGAATCAGTATATTGAATTCTTTTCAGGAAAAAAAAACAATGTGTCGACTTTTTTCTCTTTTCTTTTCGAAATCGTTTACAATGGTGACTGAGTTGATAATCGACTTCTTATGTTACTTTCCGACTTGGCTGAAAATTTCTAAAAAAACTAGAGAGGGTTGTTTTTTTAAATAATTTTTTCTTCCTTTTTGCAATAATTTTAGTTTAATTAATCGCAAAAGCAATTAATTATTGATGAATGTTTAAAATTGGAGGCGAAAAGAATAACTAAAGAACGTATGTATAAAATTGATATACCTAGAATGAGATTTGCTTCTTCTAAAAAATTTCATTTCGAAAAAATACAACTTGTAAATGGTTGACAGTTTCTGTAGCACTAGACTGCATATCAGAACATATCAACCGCCAAATTTATTTTAAAATTTTAACAATAAATGGAGCCAATAAATTTGATTTTTACGGAACCAAAAAAAACCCAGATCAGAGTTTTGCAACTATTGAGATAGAATCAGAAAATGCTAGCATCTATAGTAGAGAAATAAATTAACGCAAGCAAACATTTTTAAGCACATTGTAAAATTTCATTAAAAAGCCTTTAAGCATGAGGGCTTTTCAGTCTAAGTGAATAAAAACAAATTTGACCATATTGGAAAAATTTTTTGATCACATGAGCTTGCAAAAAAATGTTAAACCATTGAAAACTTGATTCAGGTAAGATAAATGTTGAGTTTTCTAACCAATTTTTACCAGTGAGTACTTATTAATCTAGATGTCAGATTTTGGTAATCTGATAGTCTAAAACCAGAAAACGTTGTAAAACAGGAATAATAATTGTCTCATCAAAGCTTAATAAAGGTGCCACTCCAAAAAAATTAAAATAGTTTTGGTTTATGTAATTCGATTTCTTATCTTGCTAGTTGCGTTACTTTTTTTCCAGTAATTCACTCATTCAAAGCATTTGAGGCCAAACATTTACAGATTTACCGGTTGAAATAGCCAATTAAATTGCGGCTGTTTCCTTTCGAATTTTAGCTGGTACAGGGACATTAATTTTAGGTCTGTATATCATATGTTTGGCTGTTTGAGTATCAGTTTGGTTTGAATTTGGAGCTTGAGAAAATTTGATTATCTACATGTACTTCTTTAGTCTCAAAGTAATTTAAAATGCTCACCTTGCCCCGCTGCTCTACTTCATGCTTTCAGCGTAGCTAAGGTACCACTACTACAGACCAACATCAACGACGAACAGAAACCCGTCATGCATGCTGTTTTTCAACCTCAACTGGAATATCGACGACAACACATGTCGAGATTCAGTATTGCTATCAACAAATGCGGCAAGCTGTCACGTAGAACTGTCACGTAGAAAAAATGAGGAATTTGTCACGTAGAAAAACCAACAGCCAAATTTACTATAAATCAACCATGTGACTTTTGATTTTAACGTAACCAAGAAAAACTTTAGATCAAGTTTTAGTAACTATTGAGATAGTAAAAAGAAGTATAAAAACTTATCTTGTCTTACATGGCGCCCAAAGAATGACGTGTACAAAAAAATAAGTTAGCCTTTAATTGTTTCTTATACTAACTCAATAGTTGCTAAAATCTGATTTTCAGATTTCCATGGTTTCATTGAAATAAAAAGTTACCTTGTTCAATTTATGGTTACCCGGGTTGACCTCCATAGACTGAAAATGCTAATCATACAATTTCATACAATTAGTCTGTGGAAAAAAGCTGGTCATACAAATTTCATACATTTTTGCAAAATCAGTTTAATCGAATTTCAAAGGTATTTTGTAGTTGTTTTGGTATCGAAATTGGTATCTCTTCATAAAAAAGGAAAAAAATGGTTTGAAAAAAAAATGCTAGCCATACAATTTCCATATATGGAAATTGTATGATTAGAATTTTCTTAAATTTTTTTTTTGTGAAAAAAAAGCTTTGAACAATCAATTCAACTGCTGGCAAAACATTTAAGCGTTTTTTGGGCTGCTACGACTGAAAACTTTGACTTTTTTTATTTTAGTTCTCTGAAAAAAAACACTAGTCATACAATTTCTATTGTTTTTTTTCAACTGCAAATTGATTTCGTATTCAAACAAACATTTTTTGGAAAAAAAAATTTTGCATGCAAAATTTAATTTTTTGTGTGTATAACGTAGTCCTGGATATACTAATATTGGATTTTTTTCCTTTTCTCTTCATAACTTTTTTCAAAAACGCTTACAACTCCTATTTCTTTTGTATGACATGTTTTTATATGCCTTGATCAATGTCTGGTAATTTAAAAATTCAAATTTTAGAAATAATCATCTTTGAAAATTATTGCCAAAATTTAAAAGTTCATTACTTTCGTTATATTATTTGTCTGAGACAGTAGTAACACATATCAGGCTGTTTCCAACGCATTTTTAATGCGAGACGGCCAAACCGTTGGTTACCACTTTTGAGTAATCAAGGTTTATTACATTTGTGTTCGGTTACGAACACAATCAAAAATTTTTAAGAAATTACAATGTAAAAAATCAATATTTTTGGTTTATGGAAAAATGCTAGTCATACAATTTCCATATATGAAAAAATACTAATCATAGACCTTTCATGCAATTTTCTGTACGTATGGAATTGTATGGAAAGTGTATGACTAGCATTGTTCCATATATGGAAATTGTATGACTAGTGTTTTTGGTCATCCCGGGTAGTAATAGTTGTTCGGATTTTGTGGTTGGTATGTTCCATTTCTGACTTGCCACCAAGTGCTACGACCCAACCTGTCGCATATTGTGATTAGAAAAACTAAATTACAATGGGTGTTGTCGCTGTTGTTCCAGTTGAGGTTTACTAACCGCAAGCAGACAGTGTTTCGGCATTCTGTTCATCGTTGCTGTCGGTGTGTAGTCGTGGAACCTAAGCTTCGTTAAGGACGTAGATCAAAGCAGCGGGTTATTGAATTATTGTGAGTTTTATTGAGTAAGCATTAAATTTAGCAAATTAAAGTTAAGTTACACAGGCTCTCAATTTGGATCAATCTGATACTCAGACAGACAGAAAATAGCGTTACTGTAGCAGCTTAATCTTTGGATGAAATTTGGGATGCTAATTCAACCGGTAGGGCTGTTGGTTTTCGGCCTCAAACACGTTGAGAGCCATAATAAAAAGTTGTTAGCTTTTTCATATGCTCTCTCAGAAATTGCTAAAATCTGATCTGGAGTTTTTCTTGGCTTCGTCGTTAAAATCATAAGTACTTAAACCGTGATTAGTTTCATGAAAAACAAACAAAAACTGTCTTTCCGAAATCAATTTAAGATAAACATCGGGTTACAGTTTTTGTGATGATCAAACTCAAAAAAATGCAGCTGATGTTTTCTTACCTGGTTGACAGTGACCCGGAGTATCTTTCCGACTGGGTTAAATAGGAGAGTGAGTTGGATCTCGCCTCTGAGGTTCTTCTTCCTGCACGACTTACTCAGAGGAGTGCTCAGCTTCACCACTTCATTCCTCTGCAGTGTGTGCAAATCTACTTCTATCTCACCTAAAATCACATTCATCAAATATTTTGCAACTTTTTGTTCCGATCAAATAGTCTTAAAATTTCTGTTACTGTGAGTCTAGAAAGAGTGGGGCGAAACTACTATGGCTTCGAGTGGTTTTATTTTTTGGCAATTTTTGCAACCTCGCAAGAAGCATGTAGGCGCGGTCAATAGTGGTATCATATTAGAGAGTTCTTTTCCGCTCATCGTGATTATGATTCTAAAAAGAACATAAAGTGTCCAAATTAAGATATAAATTCGATTTTCTAAAAATGGACAAAATTTCATCTGATTTTCAGACTGATGTTCACTGGCACTGTTTTATACTTGATTTAGCTATTTTTATCTTTTTGGAGCTTAATGTTACACCTCCAGTAATAACACAGAAAACGGTGTATAACTTGATGAAATGCAAAAAATAATTGTTTCTGCATGAATTTCCGTGCAACAAAAAAAACTCATTAGAAAATCAAGTGTTGTATCACAAGAAAACCTTGTTGGCGTGATTTGATTTCCAAAATAACTCAAACATGCTATCTCAGTGTCAGGAAGAATTGGTCAAAAGAGGTACACTTTTTAAACCGAGAGAGTTGGAAACCGAGAGACTAATGATTAAAAGAGCGAGGTTGTTATCCTTCTCTGCTCTGATTTGATGTAACTTTAGCTATTTTCGACTGGTTATAGCACATTATTATACAAATGAACCCCCTTTAACGGAAAACAAAAAACAATGAAAAGCAAAATTTTGAAAGAATATTTCAAAGCAATAGCAATAAGTGATGACCAATTTTTTGTTTTTATAATTTTGTAACTGCCAGAAAAAAATACAGCCAGTATATTTCTATTAAACTATCTTTGATAGCTTAAACATTCGAAAATTTGACAGAACCCGGATTAGTCTTCCAGTGGATTTAAGCATAGTTCAAGTAGCGCAACTGCAGACTCTAAAAAATCATAACATTACTATGCAAGTGAAATTTTAGCTTTGATCAGAGACAAATGCAGAAAATTAACAGCAATGACGTTCCAGTTCTGATTCAGTACTGTACCTGCGCTTTTTTCGGATACTTCTCATTTGCAAAGTTTAGAGATAATTTTTTTCTTAACCAATTACGCAAAACTAGATTCCAGAGTTGAACCCTTTAACTATCGCTATCCCAAATTATACTTGTTTTCTCTACCATATCTGCTATGCTCATGGAATATTGAATACAATTTTTTCAAAATTAAGAAGTGTATAACTGTATCATAGAGGTATATTCGAAAAAAGTCAACAAGACTGCTCGTATCGGGGCGAAGCCCTGAATGTTCCACTGCCTGAATGTTGCATTAAAAAATTGATGAATTTGTCAGTTAAAAAAAACTCATTTTTTCAAATTCCCCATACGCCATTTTAAGTACAAAATGATACACTTCGCTCCTAGTAGCAATCATGAAAAATAGCCTGCTTCCAGGGGCGGATTTAGAAGGGGCGGGGGAAGACGCTCTTTACCTCAAGGATTCGACCCCCTGCCAAACTATAGGGTCCCACTTTTATACTTTGTTAAGATATCCATTTTTGATGAGTGACACTAAAAATTTTAAAGGCACCTTTTGCGCCAATGTATACTAACTTTGAGGGGAGAGAGCGCCCCAAAAACTGCAATTTTTAGGTCAAAATTTTCCAAAAAGTGACTAAAACGCCTCAAAATTTTGCTTAGGGCGCAGAAATTTTGGCCAAAACAGGGTCTTTCTAGTGCTTTGTAAGAGCTCGGAAAAACAATTTGTTCGACCTAAAAAAATGAAGGTCGACACTTTTATCGAAATTTTTTTGAAAATCCGCCCGCTTCGAGAAAACCCTAGATCCACCACTGCCTGCTTCAACCAAGTTGAAACTGTTTCCACGAGCGATTAAATTTCCATTAACGCCTTAACAGCGCGAAAGTTATTGCGCGTTTATTATCCCAATCTAGCCTTATTGGCAATCTTTAAACTCTCGTAATTAAACGAAAAATGATGACAGGTAAAATAACTTTTCAAGTTTGAGCTCAGGACAACAATAACTCCTTGTTAAGAAATCAAAATTTGTCTGAAGGAAAAAAACGTCCCCAAGCACAAATACTCCGTCTTTTTCTTCGAAAGTCGGAACAATATTTGTAAGTGCCGTCTCTGTTTTTACCTTGAATCAATGACGTTTTGTTTTCAATCCAATAATAAGAAATTAGTAAAGTTTGAATCTATGAACAAAGATGAATCAGAGTTGTCAATGTTTGATCTGTACCACAGCTCTGTATTTTGAAATATTGCTAGTAAGGTAACGGAACTAACTATTAAATCTTCCACGTCAGTCTGGAAGTGAAATTAAGTTAAAACTATTGTTACGAACATTCTCGTAAACTGAGAAAAAAACTAAGGCGTAGGTATCGTAGGTACTATTGAAAAGGTGCTGTATTAAAACACTTCAGCGCCAAAACCTTTATATTATGCTAAAACTGCAAGATAGGTTCTTTTTTCGTTTTAAAGTTTTGGGACAGCACCCTTTAAAACATGACCATCATAAGAAAATCTTAGGTCCACCTCTGCTTTGAGTCGAGCGATGATTTAGGTCTGAAAGTTTTCGCAGTGTCGAGAAAAATTGGTGCAACCTTTTCAATTTTTGAGACTGAACTACATAAAATTTGACGGGACTCCCATTTTACTCCACTTCTAGTTCTACGTCAGTAAGCTCTTACCATCTCTCTTTTTTACAGTTTCTTAAATCATATTCAGTTTTTGCTTTATTTTTTAGTTCTCTAAATCGTCGTTTTGGGAACATTTGGACCTACTTGCGCAGCAACTGGCTATCTTTGCGTTAGATGTGGATAATTTTTTTTAGTTCTTCCGCTAACAGAACAAATTGAAGATTCTCACCAATGGGATCGTCCGGTGACATTCTATCATAGTCCATGACAGTCAATCGAAGCACAGATCCAAACATCCTCTGATAGTCTAGACTCCTAAAGTAAAACTCCTCCTCCCACTTAGGATTGAGAGTTTTGAACCTTACTGAACTTTTGTGCCTCCTTTTCTTGTCTGGAATCAGTTTCATTATTACATAAGGGTCACTAAAGCCACTTGAGTCCATGGGTAGAAGGTTTTTAGCACAGAACAGATATATTCTCAAGTACTGAAAAGAATCGTTGTAGTACAGCGAGAAGTTTATTTCACCGCAATAGTCTTTCGGTTTTGACATTTTGTTCATAAAGTCTGAAAATGAATTGAGAAACGAGTCGTTTTCCGACTGGCCTGTCGTACACACCGACAGTTGAGCGACATCGCCATTCGGGGTGTCTACTTTGGAGGAACTCTTGGGAAGATTATTGTTGGCCGAAGCTTTCTGCGGTTCTAGACAGTTACTGTAATTTGAATTGCGTCGAGCTAGTATTGGCGTTGACTAAAAACAACAAGGATCTAATCATTTATCCCCAATGAAATGGATCAACACAAGCTATACATACTTAAACAATATTAATATTCTTGATGAAGATGCAAGCAATTAGTGTAACTATTGTTCATCTCCGTCCTTTATAACAACTTCAGTTTAAATTGCAAAACTTTTCGCAAGGATCACATTTTTTAATTTCCCCTTTGTTTCCAGTTAGCGGCATCTAATTTTGGCAGAAAAAACCTGAATTTTTCTAAAATGTGCTTGCAAAACATTCTACTATGCCAAAAAAGGTGCTTTTTTGGGATCTTGTTAACTATGCCCCCCCTTTTTGCTAGGGGGGAGGGGGGAGATAGTTAACAAGGTATAAAACTCGTATACGCTCAACTGTTCAATTAATTCTTTACAGGGGGAAGGGGGATTCGTTACAAGGTCATAGTGGGTTAGAAATAGTTAACAAGATCCTTTTTTTTGTTCAAATTGTCAGTTTAGGGTTTCGACGCAACTCGAAAAATTAAATTGCCAAACAAAAGAAAAAAAATTGGTCAGGTTTAAAACCGGTTTCTTTTGGTCAATTTTTTTGCTCTTTGGAAAGTCTTAGCAAAAAACGTTGCTGTTTTTGCTCAATAATCCATCTCAAATAAGCAGTCAAACCTCTCTAAATCAACACTTTGGAGCGATTATCAAATTTTATGCAGATTTCGACGGAATAATTGAGCATATTTTCTGGTCGTGTTTTTTTTCAGGATCTAAAATGTAATTGCTTTCTTATTCTTTGTTGTTTTTTGAGCAAAATGTGACATAAAAGCCATCCAGTGCGACTAAAGCAATTTGAAATTTGAAAAAGCCCTTTCAGTGGAGTCCCATCGTGAAATATAATGATGTCTTTCAGTTTTCTCTGAAAAGAAAACAAATAATTTTAATCCAACTAACACCTGTCATGTGGTTCTCATAAATTGGCAAGGGCTTTTGAGTCCTTCACACTACACGTCACCCGAAGGCTCTTTTCAAATGGATTTCACTAAAAGCGTGAGAAAGGAAATAAGCCATTGGGTTCAATTAAGGTGCATGGAGTTCAATTAAACGAAAAAAAAAGAACTAAAAAAGAGAAATTAAACAACAGACAGTTGCGTCAGCTAAAGTTTTTTTCACTTTTTTTTTGTTTTAACAAATAGACTGGAGAAAAAGCTTGAAGTCGAAACTGTATGTATCATTTAATAAAAATGCTTGTTGCTTTTAAATTAAAAAACCCTCAAGTCTTACTCAATCGAAGTGAGTGTGAATGAACTTTTAATTCCACAAAGAATAGATTGACAAAAATGAAGAAGGGTATCCATTCTAGCATTTTGTACTAAAGTAAAGCAATATTATTCTTTTCAGCACACGGATTGCATTAATTTGAGTGCTCTTTAATCTAAATGTTGCCCAAAAGTGTTTGAAACAAGTTTCCAATAAAGGTAAAAAATTTCATCGGGATCTTAAAATCAGCGCTTCAACCTGATACGAGCAGTCTTGTTCTTCCGACCATTGAAAATGGGGAGAAACATTGTCTTCGGGTGTGTTGTAAGTTTTTTCTTTTTTTTTGGTTCCCGCAAAAAATTGGGTATCACAAATCACAATAGGAATGGGTCAAGAGATTTATCATATTTAGCCATTTAGCAGTGATTCGAACGACATTAAATTTTTTTTAAAAGTTGTCCCAGGATCGAGAAAAATATTTTTAAAGTTTTTTTAAATTTTAGTCTGAGCAGTCTTGCAATAGCTGAAAAAACGCGTTTTCGTAGTTATCTCATCACACCGCGCCACTGCGCACAAAAAAAAACGACGCTAACTTGACAGAAACGAAAGACTGTTTTTTTAGAATGTGGTCGGAGTATCATGTGCTTCTTGAAAAATGACAGGTTATCCTTGTTTTCTTAATTTTTATTTTATAATTTTTGTAATTTTAGGGGCCAAATTTTTTACATTTAATGCGGTAACATATTATTGTCTTATAACTTGGTGTAGGGTTCAGAAAGATGTTTACAAAAAAAAACTAGAAATCAGAAAATATCTCAGGATTTTTTTGAATGGTTATTCAGTAAATTCATGTGGCAAACAGTTTAATTTGCATACGAATTTCTTTTTTGGTTCATTGTGACAGTGGATAAATTTTAAATTGATTATGAGAAAACTTTGAGCAAAGTAATAAAAACTAATTTATCGAAAAAACTTTTGAAGGAAACTTGTTTATAAAAAATCGTTATCTTGTAACATTCCTTGAGCCTGTTTTTGTAAGATGTCAGAGGATTATCATGAAAAATCTGAGAGGTGATTTCGGGATAGCACAGATCTATTACATTACACAAACTCACTAGGCCTAGAAAGTTAAAATCAGCATACTTTTTTAAAAACAGTATTAAATTATCTCCGCCTCTTAAAACGATATAACAATTATATGTTTTCAATTTTTTAAATTTTCAGGGGTGTTAAGTGAAAGTCTTGTAACAAATTTACTATAAAATGTGCTTTGTCTGGTCACTTTTTTTTCAAATTGGCGGCTTTCCTCGATTGATTAAATAATCTATTTGCCAACTACGCGTCAAAAGAACCTTGAAAATTTAGCTCAGATCATTTACAATAAATTGGTAGTGCGTAAAAAATAAAAGCTGCAAATAATTTTGAACAAAAAAGGACAAAAAACAGCTTAGAAAATTTATCGCACTCATGAAAACGCAACAAAACTAGGTATCAATTTTTACCTTTGTACCATGGTATCAATTTTATTTCTTGTTTCGAGCTTGATAGAAAAGTAAATATCACTTTACAGCGCTTTCAATTCAAAAGACTGTTTAGAGCAAAAAGAATATAAAAAAGTCACCCAAAAACAAAAGATAGATCACAAGGACTTTACTTTATTCCTCCGGGATATATGAAATTTAGGATCCATTTTTGTTTGAAAATGAAAGTCATGCTTAGTTTGCTCTCGACAATAACACTTTTCGTTATATGAGAGCGCAACTCACTTTTAATGTAGCAAAGGAGCTCAAACTTACTTAAAAGTGAAAATGAAAGATCAAATTGAAATCAGGTGCCAGCCGGCATCATCATAAGCGTTCGCTTGAATCCTCCCCGTTAGATATATCCCCTGTTTCTTGGCCCTTGGTGGTTTGGTGGTGTAACAAAAACAATCTACTTACTCCTGATTTCTTGGAAGGTGATGTGTCACTTGCTCGTCTAATGAGCTTCGAGGGTCCCAGTTTGATTGGGTGAGGGTGGGGCACCAGGTCTTGGGACCCTTCGTAGCCCGTGTCATTGTCACCCCCAAACTCTAGGGGGTCGTGACTGTGAGGAAAGCAGCAGGTAAAAACATCCCACACGTTAGTACGGCGCCCGGGACGCATCAGCCTATTGTGCTTACTTTGAAGCGACAACGCCATTTCAACGAGAGAGAAAACAACTACAAGTCCAATCTATGAATTATTTGAAGGTAGATAGAAAAGTCGATATGGCTAATCAGTGTGCAGAAACTAAAACAGTAGTGAGCTGCTTCAGTGAAAATAAAAACAAGCGTCAAAGAAATTCAAAGTTCTTGTTCCTTCTGGCAAAAGGTTTGAAACCAATTGAGATAAAAGCCAGGTAAAGCGGTAGAGACGATAAAAACAGTTGTTGGTTTGATAACCTCAAATGAATCAAGCTGAAAAAATTGACCAAATTAAGTCTTAAATGTCAATTTTTGGTATTTATAGTAAATCACAAAGCTGTTGAAAACTTTTTCTTTTATCATCACGCCGTCAGCTTCAACTCTTTATTTTTTCTCAAAATAGTAACAATAGTTTTTTTTGAAAAATTGAGAATTGAGCTGGTCGGTTTTTAAGGGGAGGGTATTGAGGCTTCAGTTCTTAATGAATCCATTTTTTTATTTTTGAAGAAAAGTAGAACAGGAAAAAATTTCGCTGTTTCTAACAGAAGGAAATAAGAGTCAGAAACAATAATTGGCGTTTAATTTCGTATTTGGAGTTCAAATGATGAAAATGGAAACGGAAATGTAATGAAAAAAATCGAGCTAAATTTTCGAGCATTGATACAATCGCTATCAGATGATTTATTTGCTGAAAGGTTGTCAAATTATTGAATTGCAGTTATTACGCTTCGATAAAAATCAAACATACCATTTGCTTGTCCCAAAAATCAGGCTACGAATTTTGATATGTCACCAACAAAGTCTCATATAAGCGTTGTAAATTTGTCGATATAATCAGAGATAATGTGAATTATCGTTGAATTATCATTTGACGAAGGTAATAAACTGATGGAATGTAATTCGTTCCGTGTCATCCGTGTCAACTGGTATGGTAAAACTAAACATGTTGAATGGCAGTTATCAACATTTATCTCTTTTTCGACCTCGTAGCTTGCCATTTTTTATTTGTTTTTATGTGTCTGTTTCCGTAAAGAATAGATTTTGCAATGAGTGGCGAACAACTTATTTTTATTTTTAGATTACTTATCAACACTATTACTAGGCAAACCGAGGAATTATCAACCTATGGTCCAGTTATGATTAGAAAAAGTGTTATTGTTTTATTTCACCCATTTGAAAAAAATCTGCAGCTTTTCCTTATAATCGATATACTCCTACTTCATAGCTAACGTGAATCTGCTAATGAAAAACTGAAAGAGCGGCACTGCAGCATCGATTTTGCCTCAGTGAAGCTTTCAACTTCATCCTGCAAAAATAGAAAAAAGCTTCTGTGTCAATTTTCAGTTTTGAAGGTATTTGAAAGGAAAACAACAACTTACCGATCAATTACCAAAACGAGACTAAAAAGAAATGAAAAAAGTTCTGATTGAGACTCGGAGTTAAAAAGCAATGTAGTTGATCACTTGTTAAGAAATACGATAGTAGAAAATGTCTTTTAAAAGAGAAAAAATAGACAGCATTTGAACAAATACTTTCTGTGGGCAACCTGAGAAATTGAAGCAACTAAATGTCTAAATAATACCATTTCCCAATGCAATGTTTATATTACCTCTTTTCCCATCCAAATGACTCCTTCCCCTTTCAACGCAATGACAAAAGAGAATATTCGAGTTGTTGGAAAAACGAAAAAATGCAAGAAGGGGAAAGTTGCGGATATATTTATGATGTTATTAATGTGTGATTAGGACGGATTGTGTATTCAGTGGTGCTACTTTTTCATATATTACCTATTTATTTTTGCACAGTAGAAAATTTGATACATCAACAACAATTTTCAACCAAATATAAAAGTAATTTTTTAAAAATGATCTAAAAGCATATACGTTAAAAGTATTTTGTAATTAAGCGAATGGATGGAAAAAAATTGAATACTAAATGTTGAGTTGACGAGGAAATTGTCACAGAATGTAAAATTTGATGATGGCACGGACAAAAAATATCGATACGCTCATTGTTCAGCCAGAAAAAGAAAATAAAGCAGCGAACTATTCAGTTGGAAATAAACAATCCGTTGCTTGAATATCCACCTTTCTTTGATCCAGAAACGTCCACTGCTCTCATTATATGGATGGAAGCCTCGCTCATCCTAATACAATGGCCCGTGAATCATTAAATGGAACGAGGTTCAAGAGAATTTATACCATCCTCAAGATTGCTTTTGTTTTCCAAATTTAGATTTTATTTTTCAAGATTGCTTTTTAGATTTAATTTTTCAAAGAAGAACATTTTACAAGAGCGGTCAGTGGCTCAAAAAAACTTTCAAAAAGCGACTCATACTTTGTATCAGGTTCAATAAAATCCAAAAACAACTTTCGGAGGCGAAAATGAGCGTTAATTTAAGATTAAGAAACCAGCAGTTGCTGATACCTTTGACTTTTTGCTGTTAGAATTGGCATTGATAATTGCTAATGGCCCTGAGAATTGGCGCTAGTAAAAATGGCAATAATTTCAAAAAAATTGTAGTTTATTGACATTGGACTTACTTTTTTTACATTGCATCCCGAATCACGCTGGAAAAAATTGCAGCTAGTTTTTTTTCTAATATAGTTTTGTGCATTATTTATTTTTTCTGTAATGTATTGATGGATTTGTTTTACAAGAAATATAGAAATCTGATTTAACTATGATAGCCTGTTTTTTAAATTCATGCTCTTTCTAGCGTCAAAAGTTCGTTCATATAGAATTTGAATACCCAGCTGGTGTACGAGAAGCACAGATTGCATCAACTACAAAACCTGCAAAAAAACAAGAAAATATCAACAAATTTGAATTTTTTAACACTTTGTTTATGATGCTGTAAGCGTAACACAAGTTATTATCGCGCTAACAAAATTGTTTCAATCTGAAATATGGCAAGCTAATTGTTGATATCACGACTTAATTTTTAAAACTAAATGAAATTTCAAAGTCGGAGCAGTCAAGGCGTAGCAATGATATACCAGCACCTATTGTTCGGACTTTCAAAGAAAGCGAGTAGCTTTTATGCTTGGGGTTGATTTTTCTATTCAGTCATTGTTCAGTTTTTCAATTTACGTTTTTGACGGAAATTTTGTCTGTGATTTGAAAAAAAAACAATGATGCCTGGTGCTCATATGTCAAAAAGGTTTACCAGTGATTATTTTTGTATTTTTATGGAGGTTTGACAATTATTAAGTTGGCCAATATGAAATAATTAACGCGCGATGTTTTGTATTCTTACACCACGCGTAAGCGGCAGACTAAATCTCTTCAAATTGATATGTGGTAATCATTTTGTTTTATTGTTAAAATACGATACGCTAAATACGTCCTTTTGTACTTTTCCATGTGGACAATAAAGTTGAAAAAAAAAGTGAAAAATAAAAACTTTTTTTTCTTTCAGGATTATTTTCAATCAAAATCGTTTTAATGGGCCTCTAAGTGTAATTCGACCATTCGCCCTTATATAGAATCAAACTTTTGTTTCCGACTTCCGAAGAAAGTCACGGACTATTTGTGCTCGCGCTTGTGTTTTTCTGCAGACAGAGTTCGAGTTTTCTTAACCAGCCATTTTTGACGGAATTTTTTAAATATCAGTCGAAACTATTGTTGTCTTCAGCCTAAACTTAAAAATATATATATTTTACCTGTGATTATTTTGTGTAAAAATATGGGGGTTCAACGATTGCCAACTTGGCGAAATTGGGACAATTAAAGCTTGAACTTTTTCCAAATGAGCTAGGCTATTTGTGATGATTGATACGTTAATAGGAGCAAACTCTATCACTTTGATTTAATTTGGCTTGTGTGGGGTTGATACAAAATCTTAAGAAATTTTTTTAGGCGAACACTGCTCCATAGACCTAAAAATGCAGTCGGGATATTCAGGTTTTTGCCCGGATACGATAAATCTTGTTCTATTTGGTGTTCAGTTTCGCAAACTACTTAAACGCAAAATTAATTAATTTTCACAATAATTGGTTGGAAAAATTATTTACGAGGTATATAAAATTCACTGAACTGTTTGAAGTAGCAAACAGCTTCTATGGAATAAATCTATTGCTAACGTTCCTGAAACAAATCACCTTTAGCTCGATGCTCTTACCAAACGTACCTAAGAGCAGCAGAGCAGAGTTAAGCCGAGCAAGTGTTCGCTACTTACCAATGTCTTATGGATGTGATGTTTGTTTGCTAGCTTTGCTGAACAATAAATTTCAATGAATTTCCTAGACTTGAGAGCATTTTTTATCACTTGATTTTTTTTCAATGTGATTTTTTCTGTTTAAACTGACTTCATGCGTTGCAAAATGAAAGAAGATGGAAAAAGAAAAATCTAAAATGAGAGAATTTATATTAATATGAGAGAATTTTTTCTTCGGAATGAAAGAGATATCATTTGGGACAGATCGAGCCGGACGTTCTTTCCCTCAGAAATTGGACAAATTCACCGCCCAATCGGTACCGTGTTTGGTTCAATTTTACAACATCCATTTTACTCAAGTAGACCTTAATTTTTTGTATAGGAGCTTTCGGCATCAAAACAGTCTAGAAAAGGGGGAGGAGCGCACACCAAAAAAGGCACGACGTTGTCAAGAACATCCAAGAAAAGCCAAAAAATGCTTTCTTCCTTTTTCGTTGAAATTTGCCCTTCAATACAAAACATTTTGTTAAAATCTGTTCTTTTTAGTGTTCTAATTGATATTTTTAAAGTCCCCCTTGAGAAATATTTTACTTCTGCTTCTGTATACGACCAAATGTTTTTAACTTGAGAATCTATCCAGGCAAAGCTATAATCTTACCTTTCTTGGCTATTTTGGAGTAATTAGGCCTGTTTAAAATTCAGCTGATGTGACTATAGAAATTTAGATTTAGAGCTGCAATGAAACAAATAATTTATTCCGAGCGAAAGGGGGTATTTTTTTGATAAGAATGGTAATTTTATTCGGCATTGTTTTTCCTAACGTTTAGTAGATTGTTTTAAAATCAAACGATTGGTCGTAAATTAAAAACAATAAAATGCAAAGTAAACGCTTTCAGTCCCACTTTTAGGGACGAAAAAGTTCATGAGTACAGCTTGCTTTTATTTAAGCATCTTAAGTTGAAAATGGAAAATGCTGCTTATTTTGTAAGAGCTTTGATTGATCTTCTATATACCTGATTCTGTTTCGAGCGCTTTTAAAGGGATCGCTTTGGGGAGCTGGGGAAATTAATGGAAATAAGAAATATAATGAGGCCACTGCCTGCTGCGTTTTATCTCGGCTAGCTTCGATTTCCCTGGAAAATGAATAAAAACCTTTAGCAGGTATATTTTGATTTTCAAAAAATCAAAGGATTCAGCTGAAAAAACTACCAGAAACAATAATTACAATTTTTAAAAACCCAGGTGAAACAAAAGTTTTCAAATAAAATGAATGCAATTAATAACTTGAAGCCTAATGAACTTTTCAAATCAACTAAATGTAAACAGGTTCAATTTGCACTCAAATAAAAAATATAGTCAAAAGTGAAAAAAACGTCTATGGTTGATAGGGTATTCGACTTCATTCAGACGCATCCTAGAGGAAGAAAAAATAGACAGTGCCCTGGGGACAAGAACCAGATAGTAGCTGTAACACTTCATATCATATACTCACTTTCTTACGCGGCAAAAAAAAATTCTGGGAAAATGAATTTTGAAATACAACAGAGCCGAATAGAAACAAGGATAAACGGTTACTGTAGAAGTAGCGCAGATTTTTCTGACGATATTCTTCATATTCTTTTGTTTTCAAATTACCCGCACTGACAAAAATGGATTAGGATTGATTTGAGTATGAAAAAAGTACGTTGATTAAATTTAGATCGATTTTAGTATGAAAAAAGTACGAAGATTAAATAAAAAAAGATGAAGATTGATTTGGATCGATTCAAAATCGACTTAAATTGATCTTAAATCCCAGCTAAAAAAATTGATCCAAATCGATTTTAAACCAATTTAAATGCATTTTTTCCAGTCAAATTTTTTTTCTTTTTTACATCTTATTTAAATTTTTCCAGTCTGAATTTTTTTCTTTTTTACATCTTATTTAAATCGATTTTTTTCATTCGAGTTTTATCAGTTTCAAATTTTTATTGCATTTACTTCTTGCATATCATTTTTCATTTTTCATCCATAGCGTTTTGTAGCATAAAAAGACCAAATAAAAAGACCAAAGTTTTGATAAAATTCTATGATTTTTTTGCATATTTTGAGTTCAAAAACTGATCTATAATTACCCTTTTCTTGATTCGTTTCATAAGTTGTTGCTTAAAAATTGATTTACTTTCATGTTTTTCTATGACTTTATTGCATCTTATTGAGATCACAATTTAGTTTTACCTGACCTTTTTCTGGTTTGTTACACAAGATATTGCCCATAATCTGATTTACAATGGTTTTCTATGATTTTATTGCGAATTTTTGAGTTTAAAACCTGATTTATGTGGATAATTTTAATGAATTCTATGACATCTGGCAAGAGTGTTTATGTTTAAAAAATCGAGAATAAAAAATTTTCAACAGTTTTTTAAAGCGTATGTTTTTTTGGCCGTGTTAGCAAAAAAATCGATTTTAGTGTGTCGGAAAATCCATCGAAATCGATTTAAATCGATTTTTTAGACACTTAAATTGATTTAAAATTTTCGAAAATATCGATTTAAATTGATTTAAAATGGATTTAAGTGAGATTCTGATGGATTTGAGTGAGACTCCGATGGATTTTAGTGAGTCGGAAAAACCATCGAAATCGATTTAAATCGATTTTTTAGACACTTAAATCGATTTAAAATTTTCAAAAAGATCGATTTAAATTGATTTAAAATCCATTTAAGTTCGTAAAATGTACAGGGTTAATCGATTTGGATCGGTTTAAAATCGATTTAAAATCAATTTAAATCGACCGGAAACCATTCCTGACAGTGCGGGTAGTGTCGTTTTTCGTGCGTTGTGTGATAAAAGGATCTAAACGAATGCCGAGAACAAATAAATTTAAAAATCAACATACTTTTTCAATTTTTTTGAAAAGTTGCAAAAATGTTTTGAATTTAAAAGTTTTAATCCCAAGATGGCTTCGAAAACTTATTTCAGTGGATTAAAATTAAATTTCAGAGCTTCAATAAAAGTTTCATGGCTGATCCTTTCATAATAAGCCTGCTCGCTTGCTTCACTCGCTCGACATCGAACAAAAACTTTAAGATTGCAAAACCCGTTTTCCGTTTTTCTCAACACCGGGACAATTTTTTTGAAAAACTGTCTTAAATCGTTGGACTTACGATTGAAAGAGCTTTAAAATGATATATATTATGAAAATAAAAAAATAATAATACAACTCGAATACAAAGTTTTTCCAACTTTCAATGGTTTGAACAAAAATGAAAAGCTGAGAAGGAATACACATCAACCGAATATTGTGCAAATGAGCAATTAAATATCAGAAAATTTCAATTGCTAGAATTATTTAGATATCAAATATTTACAAGTATATTGATTTCTGGTTAGGTCTCTTTTCTACCAAAAAGGAGTCTATTGAAACGCTTTGAAAAATGTTTTCTGAATAAATTAGATATTAGATGAAAGGTTGATTTACCTTTAAATACCGCATTAAAATTCAAAAAATAAAATGAAAAAAGGAATTCATTCACAGAGCAATAAGAGTGTTTGTCTGCAATATTTCAGCTGAATCGGCCTTTCATTTAGAAAACTGTGAATAAAATGAAAGGGAGAAGCACATGAACAATTATACAGCAGGTGTATCTTAGTCTAACACTGTCGAATAATTCACTAAAATTGCGTTCAAACGGAGATAAAAGATTCCAAAATTCATCTCCGTGTCATATCAGTGGAAGCATAATGATTCGATGAGATTGTTTTGACAAAAAAAACCATTCTTCGACTTTAAAAACGCTCTGCTATGCATAATTGATGAGGAGATATATGTCATTCCTAAAGACGGTGCCCTGGTCAAGGTACTCGGCTTATGTTTCGACTTTCTTGGCGATAAGTTGGCATGTTTGGACCACTCTTGATCAACAGTTTTTGTTTTTCGATTTTCTCGACCTATATTGATGTTAAGCTTTTCTCGGCTAAAAATGATCAACTTTTTTTGATCTGTTTCAGATATATTTTGACCAGCTCGACCAGAATCGTCTCAACTGAGCCGTTCTTGATTGTTTGACTTATTGACTAAAGAAAAACGTGCTCTCTTTTGCTCAACTTAGCCCAGATATGCTTCGACTGGTTTGACCAGCAAATGATATGTATCGACTTTTCGAATTTAAAAAAAAAAACGAGCCAAGACATTTATCCTCCAGCAAGATTGAAGAATTTTTTTTTACAGTTTGGCCAAGTTTTCGACTTTACGACTGTTCCAGAAAATCTCAAGTTTTGGCTATCTTGATACTTTTTTTCCGCTTGTAGCATATCAATGTTTTCAATATAAATCTTTTCGCTCTTTAGTATTAGAAAGCTTTAATATTAAAACTCTTTAGTTGATCATATTTTCATTGATCATAATATGAAGTGGACAGACAGCACAATTTTTTCTCGCACTTCTGATGGATACAATCAACAAGCTAACATCCAGAAACTCTTACAAGCATTACTTTCGATGAATGATTTCATGTGTCGTGCAGTGACAACCTAGCTGATACTGGTACTCGTCGTTTTCCTGCTGAAGCGTTGAAAAATAGCAACTCGGTCAGGTGTCTTTACTTCCTCGAGTGCACAGGATGACCTTTCGGAAAAGATTTGCAAGTTACTCGGCGAGTTGGTCTCAAAAGAAGCACTTGCAATCTGAACGATGGAGTGGAATTTCGCTTCGAATTTAAAAGCTAACGAGCCGGTATTCATTTGGGAACAGTATAACTTCCATTCAAAATTTCAAAGTATAACCACCCAAAAGAAGGATGAGGTTGCTACCGCGTCATTGAAACATATGAATGGATAATGCAATAACAGGTCCGCTAAAGTTACTAAGTGTTAAAGACAAGCAGATGCGAGTAGCTCAATCAGTCGCAGTTCCGACCTAAAGCAAAATCTGATTAGCAGTCAGACCGTCAAAATGTCTAACCGAATAGCTTCTTTCGCGTCATTTATTGGTAGCGACGCTATCGCATGTTCCACGGCTATATCCGCCGCCTCGCCGCTGTCAAATTTGAGCTCAAGCATCCAATAATTTTTGAGAGCAGTAATTTTCTCGTCTTCTCTTTTCTAACGTTCTTCTATATGCTTCATAACCAGCAATGTATTTATCAACTTCGTGCAGTTCTGCAAAGTTCGTATGCTAACATTGTGCTCCATGCTACCCTCCATTTTGTTGAACGCCGTTGGACCAAGCGTAGAAAAAGTAAGGCAAAAGTATTCCAGCCAATGATGGCTGACTTACCAAAGAATATTTGAGCTTTCAGCAACCGCCTTTTTACCAATTCTGGCGAAGACTTATTTCGGATCTTTTTTTTAGGATCCGCCAAAGCTCTGAAAAGCGTTGGGGTTTCCTGAATTTTGCTTGACGACGCGTGGAGTCCATATAGGAGTCATTCCGTGTTTTGACACTAGTTCTTTCGTCATAGGCGTTGAGCGCATCATTTCTAATAACGGTCCATAAACGGAAATAACTCTCTCGGCTCGGCAAACGAACTATTTTAGGCATCGATAATTGGAAAAAGCATGCAACGGCGTCAACGTGGTCTGAAGACTGGTGATCTTTCGTAGATATTGTACGAGGGCATTCGTCGTGTTCATTACCCGTTGGCCCGAATTACAATGTTCAATCACGGCAACGACAAGTTTGTGCGATCCGATGTTGTATGAACGTCGCACTTGATCTTGCTTTTGTAGAAGCGGATGATGTAGGAGCCCCTACATCAGCGGCTTTTGCAGGGGCCCTGGCCAAGGTACTCGACTGATGTTTCGACTTTCTCGGCGATAAGTTGGCATCTTTGGACCACTCTTCATCAACAGTTTTTCTTTTTCGATTTTCTCGACCTAGTTTGATCTTAAGTTTTTCTCGGCTAAAAATGATCAAGTTTTTTTGATCTGTTTCAGATATACAGGGTCTTTAAGTTAGAATAGTTTTTTTGAAACGTCTATAACTTTTAAATGGAACATTGGATTTAACTGATCCTTTTTACATTTTTCATATAACAGATTAAGATTTTTGAACACGTACATA